ATGAGGGGTGCACCCCCCGCCAGGAAACCAAGTCCTTTCTTCAAGGTTCTGCTCTCTCTTTGAACTTGAGCTTGACCAAGATATTCTAAAAAGCAAATTCGAACAATCTCATGTCCCCCCAGCACTCACAGGAGTCTATCTGCCTTAAGAGGGACGAATAGAGCCACACAGAGATGAAAAGCAGTAACCACCGAGTCCTGTGCCTAAGCCAGGCCAGCCGAGCCTCCGGGCAAGCTGCCCACCCCGTCCTCCTGTGGGGGGTCTTCTCCCAGACTGCCAGGTCATCCCGGTAAGCAACACCTGCTCCCCTGCCCTCGCAGCTGCACTGACTCCCGGGTTACCCTAGCCCACCTGTCTCCTTGCGAGGTTGCCTCCTTAGCCACTGTCGGGTCAGGGGAGAGGCCATTTTCCCTCCATCTGTCCCACAGCACAGGCCTTCCATAGGTGCCTTCGCCACCTCCACACAAACTCCAGGTCGGCCATTGCCTTCTCCGCCCTCTCCCCAAGTCCAGATTTCACAGATGCACGTGTGGCTGTGTGTACAGCCATTCATAGAGACTGCAACATTCCTGTGTATACGGTGGGCAGCCCCAAAGATCTGTGTCAGGAGGCGATGACAAGAAGGGGTGCGGTGGGCTTGAAAAGCAGAGAATTCCTGCCTCAACACACAGCCAAATGCACCCAAACATGATAAGGTTCTGCCACAAGACAATACCAATCTGCTTGGAAAGGAGATTTTCCTGGCTGACTCCCTGGAAGAATTAGTGGTGCTCTTCTGCCCTCTAGTGGCTCTAGTGGTAAGAATCAGCACGGCCCTTCGGGTAGCTTCAGGAAGAAGCAGACATCCTTTCTTAGCAATAGTTCCCCGGGAAGATGTACAGACAGCAAAACGTCCATCTGAGGTATGTATGGGAGGCACCAATGCCAACGAGCCGAGCCCACAAGTGTGGAGGAGGCCGCTTTACTTCTCACACGGCTTAGGAGAGCAAGCAGAGAGGTGAGAACAAAAGGGGTCTGCTTTGAAAGGCGGGGCAGGGCGGGGCGGGGCGGGGCGGGGCGGGGTGTGGGGTGTTGGTACACAGGCTAAGTGCTCCCACTCTACCCACGGTTGCTCCAGGCACCAAGAGAGGAGGCTCTTTCATGGGGTCTGAGGAGAGGGGGTTATGAGTGGGAACCATCTGCCAAGGGGGGGCAGAAGATTTGGGTTTTGGGTTCCTCCTCTTCCCAGTCTGAGGTCCAGGTTCCTCGCTGGTGTGATGGAAGACCTGCAAATGGAAGCTGCCCAGGGTTCTTTCTGGCTCAGACATTCTGGCCTTTTCTACTATCGGCTGGATGGGTGACTGCTGATATGCCCAGTACAAAATACATTACCCTCCATATTTTCAAGGTAGCTTCCCCACGAGAGCATCCCACCCCCCCACTCCAAACCCCTTGCCGCCCTGGAGTTTGCTGTCTTTACTGCACCAGTGGGAGCTAGGTCTTCTGTCTGGGTGAGGTGGCAGCTGACATTTCATATAGTGTGTCCCTTACCCATCCATCCTGGCCCGCTAGGAGTGGGCTTCTAAGGGCCCGGCTTCTGGAGAACAGGAGCGTCTAATCCCTTCCTGAACAGACCTAGCGCTTGACAGGAATACATAAAGAAGGCTGTATCTGATTTTATTTTCTACTTGAAAATTGGTAACATCATTAGCGACAAGTAAATATATCAGTGGGATTAATGGAGTGAATCACAGAGCAACTTGATTGGGTTTAAGGCCGCATTATTTCTTTGGGGTGAATTAGTAAATTTAGCACTGTCAAGAGATGATGGATTGGGAACCAGGGGACTGAGAGTTCTTATTGATCCCGAGAACAGATCAGCTCAGCTCAAGCAGCAGCTACCATAGCCTCCTACCCTCCGCCTGCAGAGACAGAGACAGAGAGACAGAGAGATAGAGAGAGAGAGACAGAGACAGAGAGAGACACAGAGAGAGGTGGCTTTATTATTGATGGAACTATGCAGAAATCCTGTGTTCTTTTTCAGACGGTGGCCCCGATATTTGTGAACACACGAGTCAGGCAGACCTGGGGTGATTACCCCTGTGGTGGCTTGAATCACGAATCAATTGGCTCCCACAGGCCCACAGGGAGTGGTTCTGTCAGGTGTGGCCTTGTAGGAGGAGGTGTTTTGCAGGGGTGGGGGGTGGGGCTTTGAGGTTTCAGAAGCTCAAGCCAGGCCTAGTGACTCACTCGCTTCCTGCTGCCTGCAGGTACAGACGTAGAACTCTCAGCTACCTCTCCAGCACCGTGTCTCCTGCCTGCCACCGTGCTTCCCGCCATGATGCTAACGGAATGGGGCCGAACCTCTGAACTGTAAGCCGGCCCCAAATAAATGCCTTCCTCTGTAAGCGTTGCCATGGCCACAGTGTCTCTTCACAGCAATAGACGCCCTAACTAAGACAACCACCCAATCCCTGCCTCCACCTGGGATCCATATTCTTGTACAGGAACCCTTCTGCTTAGCTGTGGGCCTGTGCGACTGGCTGTTTTCTAGCAAAGGGTGCAGGGATACACACATGATGTCACCCGGAAGACTAGCTTACGACACATGGTGGCTCCTTCTCTCGGGGGCTCGCTCTCATCTTCTCTATGGGAGAATTGCTGACGGAGTCCTGAAGAGAGGGCCTGGAGAATCAGCAAGGCCACCACAGGCATGGGCTAGGAGTTGGACCCTCCCCCTCTTGGTCCTTCAGGGGACTGCAGCCCAGGCTGGGAACTTGGTTGAATCCTACTGAAGCTGCTCACGAGTCCCAGACCCACGTAAGAACTGTGAGATAAAGATCGTCTACATGTGGTGTCATTGTTATGAACTTGCTTTGGTGATAAACGACAGGGAGCATGGCTTCTCATCTTTAAGGACCAGAGCATACCTTGTAAGACTCTTGGCTTCCTGCCTGGAGACTATAAACACTAGGATCAGGATAAACACTTTGCGGGCTGGGTCCTGGAGGAACCATGGTGAGCTGGTCCTTCCCAACCCCAATCTGTTTTGAACACAGCAGCTGCAAAATTAACTTTTAGTACATTCAGTCACTTAAATTTGAGGGCTATTTGTCACCGCAGCACAGGCATGATGGTCAGTCTCTGTTGCTACCTTGATGGAATGTGGGAGACAAGCCTCTGCCAGTGCCTGTGAGGGATTATGTGGACTGGGTTACCTGAACTAGGTCGATCTACCCAGTGTGGGTAACAGTAACATTCCTAAGGTTGGGTTTCTGGCACGGACTGAAAAGGATGCATTTGTGATACGTTTCTGCCCTCTAGTGGTAAGAGGAAGCAACAACCCTCAAGTACCTTCAAGAAAGAATGGCTAAAGGCAGTGTGATACATAGACTCGATTACTCAGCTGTAAGGAATAAAGAAACATGGGTAAACGGGCAGAGCTGGATATAATCATGTGAGTGAAGAAACCCAAGCTCAGTAAGACAAGCACTGCGTTCCTTCTCCCTCGTGGGTTTGGAAGCGTGGATATGTGTGGTGAGAGCATCCACAGAAGTCTGGAAACTAGAAGGGGCTCTGGGGAGATCTCAAGGGGTGGAACGCTATTTGGTGGACATGAAAAGGCTGCTGAGCATGTGAACTCAGTGGCTGTGACTGCACACACAGCATACCCACAAGATCAAGGGAGACAAAACTTGAGTGCTCATCAGGCCCTGCCCTTAGCTGAGCAGCCACAGGCAACCGATGGTGGCTGGAGAGAAGGAGTAAGACTTCCCTGTGGGTCTGTGGCCCCCTGCCAGGCTTCCCATGCTCTCAGGTTGTCCTACACTCAAGCGCATACCGTCGCATTAATGGACTGGGGGGGGGTTACAACGCGGGGGAGTGTGCAGATGGGGAGGAGTTACAGAAGACAGAGTGGGGTGGATTTGATTCGCGCAGACATGGTGCGCATGTACGACGTTCCCATAGAACACAGCACTACCAAATGGCAGGGAGCCACAGAAAGCTAAGCAGGGGGACTGGCTGCTCTCCTCTTCCCGACTATGGACTATGACTGTGCCGCCGTCAGCAGCCTCACACTTCCACTGCCGTCTCCCCCGCCACGGTGGGCTTCTCGGAGTTACACACCAACATAGTTTCCCTCTTATGATGCTTCTTGTCAAGTGTTCTACTTTGCTTTTCTGTTGCATTTGGTGACAGTCCATCACCGACAGAAGTCAGGCCAGGAACTCAAGGCGGGAACCTGGAAGCAGGAGCTGAGGCAGACATTTACCCCCACAGTCATGGCTATTAATTTCAGAATCACAGGTGGGAAGCCCAGAGCATCTGAGAAACATATGTCCTCTTCCTATTAAGAACACAGCAAGTTTTGCTTCAGATGGTTTGATTTTATTTATGTCTGTGTAGAGTGTGTATGTGTACGTGTAGTGTCTGTATGTATGTAGTGTGTGTGTATGTGTGCATAATGTGTATAGTGCATGTGTGTGTGCAGTGTTTGTGTATGTGTGTAGTGTGTGTATAGTGTGTGTGGTGTGTATGTGTGTAGTATGTATGTATTGTGTGATGCGTATATGTGTGTGCTGTATGTGTAGTGTGTATATGTGTGTTGTGTGTGTATGCAGGTGTGTGTGAATGTGTAGTGTATGTAGTGTGTGTGTGTGTATGTACACCTTTGGGAGACAGGACTTTGTGGCAACGTCAGGCTGTTGTGGCATGCTTCTGCAGAGGATATGGGGACCCTGGCTTTCTCCTCTCTCGTCCCTTCATAGACACCATGGTAAATAGCTCTGCTCTATCTGATGCTCCCCACCATCAAGTGGTACCTTACCAAGAGGCCCTCAAACCATATGCCAACCAAACACGGACTGAAAGCATGAGCCAGAGCAGGCTCTTCTTGTTGTCTTGGGCATACATGTCACAGTAACAGAAAGCTGCACAGCGCAAGAAATTGCTTAGTGTGTGCGGAGTCTGAGAACCCCGCAGGCTACAGACGCACTTAGCAGTTGCGATCTGCTCCTTACTTGTGTCAATGAAGACGGCATCCACATAGATTTTGGTACAGAAAGAGCCCAGAATAAATCCACAGGCTGGTCCAAATACCAACATCGTGAACAGGATTCCTGCAAGAAGAAAAGGAAAGGTTAGGTTAAAACACAGAAGCCCTTCAAGGAGCAAACTCACCAAAGGTCAAAGGTAGATCCCTGGTTATGACAAATGACAATGCAAGGAGTTAGCCTGAGCACCACAGAGGGGATATTAGTGCTTTCCATCTTTGAGGACTCCATGAACATACTACGCATCATGCTAGAATTCCATGGGATTCCATCAGTTACAGATTTTGCAGTTTTAAATCATGTGTGTAAGTGTGGACGCATGCATGTGAACGCTGTGGCCTCAGAGGCTGGCAGAGGGCATCATATCCCCTGGAGCAGGACTTAGAGCAGGGTGTGAGGTACCTGATGTGCGTGCTGGAGCAAACCTGCAGCCTCTGCAGGAGAAGCAAGCACTGGAAACCAGAGAGCCCTCTCCCCAGCCCTCTCCAGGACTGCCATAGGTTGCTCCAACAAGGCACTGATAGGCCCGCTTCTCTTACCTTTAGGGACTTGTGCCACATCAGTCAGAAACACTAAACTAATCCAAACCTGCCACTGAGAAATCCGAGGGGGAAGGGCCCTGGAGACATGGCTCAGTTGACGAAGCCCCCAGCATAAATACAAGGGTCTTTCTTTGGACCCTTAGAGCTAACCTATAGGCCACTGTGGCAGCCAGTCTGTAATCCCAACACTAGGAAGGTGGGGGCATAAAGATCCCTGGAGCTCATCAGTCACCCAGCCTAGCTTAATTGGTGACGTCTAGGTTCAGTGAGACACCGTGGCTCAAAACAGAAGGTGTAGATCAACCAGGGACAATACCTGTCTCCTGATGCCAACCTCTAGCCTCCACACACATACATACATGTGCACAGGCACCTGCACATATCCATGCATACCCTCCCTACATGTACATACACTCTACACACACACACACACACACACACACACACACACACCACCACCACCACCAAAAGAATTCTGACAGGGTTTCTACAACTCTGTTTCTACATGCATTTTAGCTATACTCCTTCCCTCCCTCCTTCTTTTGCTAAGATTCTAGACACTCCTACAAACTCAAGAATTCTTGGGAAGTGAGAAAAATCTAACCCACAAATCCTTCTCAAATGCAACCAGATATTTATAAATTCTAAATATAATAAATATGAAGATCCACACAAGGGTGTATATACATTGAGAAGAAGTGACTAGACGCTGGATAACTTCAGTTTCATCATGACTCCCCATGGTGGAATCACTGTCAATGGCTAGTCAGGACTCACACCTGTCTGCGGAACTGAGTGATGACAAGCCTCGGCTGTGTATTCAGTTACCTGGTGACTGTAGCACATAAACTTTACACAGAACTTTTGGAGTGCTCTTGGAAAAGCACCGACCCTTAATTAAAATTCACAGGCCATAACTGCTCTTCAGAGACATTATCTGAGCACCGATCATTCCCCAGTCACAGGGATGAAGAGGGAAGTTGCAGTTATCTGATGGGGACAGCCAGTGACTTATGCCCAATGATCAGGAACAGTGGGTGCTGCAGGTCTAAGTGGGAATCAGTGTCGTCATGGGAACCTAAGCTCACAGGAGGCCACATCTGTCTACCGACTGTCTCCTTCAGGGGTGGGGCTCAGAGTACGAGGCTCACTGGGGGGGGGTGCACATTGTACAGGTCCATTTTATCTTCTCCCTTCTTATTAAACTCTGTTTCCAGCCCACCATGCAGCCGGCAGCTGTGCCCTGCCACGCCCTTCCACCATGGCATTCTGCTTCACCACAGGTATATGCGGAGTGACCATGGACTGAGACCTCTGAAAACACAAGCTAAAATAAATCCTTTGTTGCTAAGTGGTTTCTCCAGGTATTTTGTCAAAGCAATGCGAAACTGGCTAACACACTCACAAGCTCGTTCAATGAGCCAAGCACTAACCTCAGGCTTGGAGACTCAGAACCAAACTTCAAACAGTTAAGAATCCTGGTCTTCCATGGAGCACGGGAGTGCCAGCCTCCAATCCCACTGCCAGAGAGTCTGGGAAACTGGGAGGACCCTAAGAGAGATATGCATGGTACCCCAGAAAAGGGGAATTGGACAGGATCTCCGGAGTGGATTGGGAGAATGAGGGGAGGGAAGAGGAAGGGAAGAAGAGGAGGGGAGAGGAGGACATGGGTAAGCAGGAACGTTGAGTCAGGGGAAGAATAGAGGAGAGCAGGATGAGAGATAACATAATAGAGGGAGTCATTATAGGTTTGAGGAGAGAGCTGGCACTAGTGAGATTTCCAGAGATCTACAAGGATGACATCAACTGGCAAACTAAGCAATAGTGGAGAGGCTACCTTAAAAGCTCTTCCTTGATGATGAGCTTGATGACTACCTTGTATGCCATCCTAGAGCCTTTATCCAGAATCTAATGGAAGCAGACGCAGACACTCACAGCTAAACACTGAACTGAACTCCTGGAGCCCAGTGACAGAGAGGGAGGAGTGATGAGCAAAGGGGTCAGGACCGGGCTGGTGAAACCCACAGAAACAGCTGACCTGAACAAGAGGAATCTCATGGACCCCAGACTGATGGCTGAGCATGGGACTGATCCAGATCCCATTGAATGTGGTGTCAGTGAGGAGGCCTCGGCAATATATGTGACCTCGGGTAGTAGATCAGTATTTATCCCTGGTACACAAATGGACTTTGGGAGCCCATTCCACAGGGAGGGATGCTTTCTCAGCCTGGACACATGGGGGAGGGCCTAGGCCCTGCTCAGGATGATATGACAGACTTTGGAGATCCCCCATGGAGGGTCTCACCCTCCCTGAGAAGCAGAGTGGGGATCGGATGGGGGGTTGGGGGGACTGGGGATTTGGGGGAGTGCGGGGGAGGAGTGGAGGGAGAGGGAGCTGAGATTGACATGTGAAGCAAGCTTGTTTCTAACTTAAATAAAAAAAGATAAAAAAGAATCCTGGTCTTCATAGAGCTCCCTGACTTACCAGAGGAGCCAAAAAGAAAACTCTGGAAGATATAGACCGAAGCTCAAATGTTTCTAAGTGTTTGGCAAAGGGAAGGAGCCTTTATAAATAGACACCCAGAGCCCCAGAGCCTGTAGACAGGGCTCTGTAGACAGACAGACACAATGAGAAATCACGTTTTGTATCAAAAGAATGGACTGCTAGAAAGAAATTAATCCGTTTCAAAATACTCTAAGGACAGCCACAGACTCCAAATCTCATAGCTACTCTTATTTAAGGGGGGGTTTCAAGAGGAAAAACATGTTAACTTTGGAAAGGGACAGTCCACAGGACCAGCATGTCCATCTGCTTTGTCACAATGTAGGTAGATTATGATAGCCTAGCAGAGAGTGGTGTGTGTGTGTGTGTGTGTGTGTGTGTGTGTGTGTGTGAGAGAGAGAGAGAGAGAGAGAGAGAGACTGTAGCTAGATTATGGTAGCCTAACAGAGAATGGTGGGGTGTGTGTGCATGTGTGTGTGTGTGTGTGTGTGTGTGTGTGTGTGACTGTAGCTAGATTATGATAGCCTAGCAGAGAGTGGTGTGTGTGTGTGTGTGGGAGGGAGAGAGACTGTAGCTAGATTATGGTAGCCTAACAGAGAATGGTGGGGTGTGTGTGCATGTGTGTGTGTGTGTGTGTGTGTGTGTGTGTGACTGTAGCTAGATTATGATAGCCTAACAGAGAGTGGTGTGTGTGTGTGGGGGGGAGAGACATACAGACAGACAGACAGACAGACAGAGACAGACACACACAGAGAAGGTGTGGGGGTGATACAGGGATGGACCCCAGGGCCCAGTGAATGATAGGCTAGTGCTCAGCCACTGTGGCACATTACATTCTAGCCTCTCTGGAGGTCAAGTTTCTCCTTCTCAGAGAGATGTCACAGTAAGCCAACAGCAAATTGGTTTTGAGATGTTTCCTAGGGACAGCCAATAGTACGGTGTGGGAGGGCCCTCTCATTATCAGGAGACTTAAGACCTCAGACAGAGCAGTCTTGGAGCAAGGCCCTGGGTCCTAGAGAAAGCTGAAGATATGATGTACACAGGGATCTCACAGAGTCACTTGTGAATTTGTTTCTCCAGCTCTCCTTTCGTCAAACTGTTTTTGTTTGCTTTTAAGTATTTACTACTACTACTACTACTACTACTACTACTACTACTACTACTACTACTATTATTTAGCATAACTATTTCAAAATGACAGCCAGCTGTAACATCCCTGTGCGGAACAGGTCCTGGTCTAGAGGGGAATGGTTTTGCTGTTGTTCTTTTAGATTTGTGGCTCACGAGTGCCCTCTGCTGTCTGCCCAGTGTCAGTACACCACAGAAAGGGCATGCTGTGGAGGAGCCTAAGAGAGGAAGTCAGGAAACAAGAATTGCCTGCTGTCCACTACCCCATCTAACCCAATCTACTTTACATCCCCAGCCCCCTGCCATCTCTTCAATGATTCAAAGAGGAAGTTTGCGTTTGTGGATAGATACGAACTCAAGCGCCACTTCCTCTGTCGGCATTACGTAACTCAACACATCACAAGCCAGGACCCTCTAGACTATTAAGGAGACCGTCTGGGTGAGGACTGGATAGCCGGGGCTGAAACCCCAGATCTACTATTTCCTATCCTCGCCAGAGCTCACTTGCTCCTCTCATATTACCTGCTAAGGATAGAGGACGCTACCCTGCATTTTAGTGGTGGTATGCCCGGAAACAGGAAGCGGTCCTCAGGGGGGAAGCAGAGGATGCTGGTGGTGAGGGAAGCTGTGACCTCCTTAAAATTAGTGGACATCTGCAGTTGCCAAACTGGGTGCTGAGAGACCCTGAGCCCCGCCCCCAAGAACTCACGGGATCACGTAGATTAACTTTTTGAAAGCAGCTTCATTTATTATTTCGTGTGTATGTGTCTGAACCTAAGTGTATATGTATGTACCACAGGCACACAGATGCCCAAGTGTCGCACCTGCTGTGCAGCCTGCATCCGAGAATGTAGCGAGGTGGTCGGGATAGATGACACAGAGACCAGTCGGTT